TCTTCCTGAGTTTGTTTCCTTCTCTGTCTTCTTTATTTGAAGTGATTTCTCTGGACTCTTTTCTCTCAGCTTTTATGTCAGCGTTGCTCAGACCTCCCACATTACAGGTGCCACCTTGTAAGTCACTCTCGTTTGCTGCCTTCTTGTCCACTACTCTGTGAATTCCATCTTTTGTCACCTCTGACCTTTACCTTGGCAGTTACCTTTGTATTTGTAGCTCCCGTCCTGCTCCCCATCGGCTACCCCTTGAATTCTCTGCCTTGTGTATGCATGTTGCCATGTTACTACGCTGCTCTTAAGGTTTTGCAGTTTCCTACTCATTATGGACCAGTCTTTGTTCGTAAGCACTTAAGGCTCTCTGCAATCTAATTCTTCCGGCTTTTCTGGTTTGTGTTTCTGTTATTTTTAACTTTTCATCTAAATCTCAGGAATACTTAGGTACTTTAAGATTCTTAGACATCTCCATAGTTCAGAATTTTAGCATGATTTATATTTTTTATAGAAATTTCTAGGGGTAAAATAATCACTTAAACCCCTGGCCAGATTTACCTACAAATAGCGCATAAATACAAATTTTCTAGCTGGAGCGATAGCACAGCGGGTAGGGCGTTTGCCTTGCACACAGCCAACATGGCCGACCCGAGTTCGATTCCTCCGCCCCTCTCGGAGAGCCCGGCAAGCTACCGAGAGTATTTGACATGCCAGACACAGTAACAACAAAGTCTCCAATGGAGACGTTACTGGGCCTGCTCGAGTAAATCGATGATCAACGGGAGGGCCCCATAAAAAAGATGGAATCAATACCACTGGGTAGGCTGGCCAGGGGAAAGTCATCAGATGCGGCTGTTTAGAAGATTGGAAAGATGGTTTTCTACTCTGTGGCTTTGCATGTGTAAGCCTTGGAATATTTCTATCTGCTTCCCCGTTTCTTATGTCTCTTCAGTGCAAAAGCATCGGCCTCTCCATGGAACTGCTTATGCAGATTTGTGCTTTCAGTGCCTTTTGTTCTGTACACGTGTTGGCCATAGTGACCATCATGTCATCTTGTAATTGTATTTTCTACTTTGGGCTGGAACTCAGGGACAGCAGTCTTTGTAGCTGAAGATAGGACGTAAAACCTTGCAGTTGACTGTAGAAAACTTCGCGAGAGGTAGAAAATCCCCGAAAAGCCAAGGAATAGATAGAGCCTGTTAAGATACAGGGGTGTAATGTACCATTTGTTACTCTGTATGAATTCTGTGGGTATTTCACTAAGTATTCACGAAGTTTCTGAATGAATGGGTAAATGAGTGAAAGTGGCGCATGCATCAAAGGCCTAGAGAGTTTTCTTGTGCCTCAGCAGTTTCGTTGCTCTGTTGGGGAGAGGATCCCCGTTAAAGCAGATTGAGAAAGGAGTCAAACGTTTTGAGATGGAGGCCAGTGTGGACATCTGTTTCTAGACATTTTACAGTGAAGAAGAGGTGACAAGCTAGAATTAGGGCAAATATCTGGAAAATATCTTTCCCAGTTGTCTCCTCAATAAAAACAAAACAAAACAAAACTGTGGACTCCTATTGGTCAAAACTCCTTAAGGTAAATGCTCTCAGTGGAAGAATCATCTGAGTACAGGCTCTACCTTTGGGATTGGGTTTTAGATCAAGGGTGGGCATTCAGGTATATCTGAGAGAATTATTTCCCAAATCTCACAGTGGGAAATGTGCTCCGGGGAAGTGTTCCGTGTACCCTTCCTCACACTCAGGAGCCTCCAGTTCCTTCCAAGACTGTCCGTAATGTGAGGGGGTCCATTTAGTGGTTCTCTATCATCCCTCGTTACTGCCCGGCTCTCTGCTGCTCGCTTGTACTGCTCACTGTGGTCTCTAAACCTCCTCTTCATGGTTCTTATACATGCTTAATTGGTGTCGCCTTCTATTTCCTGTGGCTTGTCTGTTTCCTGTCAGGGTGCTGGGAAGTTGTCAGTTGTCCTTGAGCTGTTCTCAGCTGTTACCCTTGTTCTCTCAGCTGTTCGTCAACACTGATGCCTTGTTTTCCTTTCTTAAGCATTTGGGACTCTCCTTGAAGAGCAGGGGAACTTTCAAAGCTGATCTTTGCCTTGTCAGGGGAGAGGAAAATGGGTTTGATCTTGTAGAGATGTGTAGCCTGAGGAAATGTTTTCTGTTATTAATCTGATAACCAGCTCAGAGGTGATTCTCTTAAGAGATTTCTAAAGACAGTCCTTACTAGTGTCCTGAAGAAACATCTGCCATCAGACCATATTTGGAACAAATACTTGTTCTGTTATTTTTTTATTTTCTTTTTGGGTCACACCCAGCAAAGCCTCAGGGGTTACTCCTGGCTCTGCACTCAGGAATTACACCTGGCAGTGCTTAGGGGACCCTATGGGATGTTGGGAATCAAACCCAGGTCAGCCGCGTGAACCCTCCCTGCTGTACTATCACTCCAGCCCTTGTTCTGTTATTTTTGTCTAGACACTGCCGCGACTCACCATAGTCATGCATTTCCCTAGGAGTCTTTTAATCAGCACTTTGGAATTGACAATATTATTTAAATTGCTTAGAATTATTGTCTACATGGTTGTATTACACATTTAAACCTTTTAGGCAGGCCTTAAACTATGAACTGTTGGGCATTTTGCACTCAGTTAAACTCAGCTTTTGTTAGTTTCTTGGACATGGTCACAAGATGGTATTAGGTAAGCTAACTATAGGTGTAGAACTGGTACAAAGTTGCAAAGTAGATTCCTATGCAAGTTTTTTGGATTGCTTTTTCTCAGGGAATGCAGCAGACACTAAAACAAGCATTAATAGCAGAGGAAACTCAGTTATCTCATAGATGGTCTGAGCACAACTTAAATGTATTCCGCATGTCCTATGGAAATAGCGTCCTAGAAGGGAAGCTCTTGAAGATGAAGATTTTAAATATAATGACTTATATCCAAGAAAATTCACCAATAAATAAAAAGAAATCCGTACAATTACCCTGCCATAATTGTTTTTATTAAGAAATCAAAAAGAAATTAATAATATAAACCCATAATTGTTATTATACTTGAATATAAATTTTTATCTCCAAGTCTCTGTTTACTTTAATGCTTATATAGTATTGATGTTTACACACCTGTCAACTTAATGTATACTTTGCATTTAGAAAATTTTCTATAACTCTTTTGAAATTACTGCATTTTGTTTTATGACTGTAATAACCAAGTTGATGAAATTAGCATTTCTGTTACTGAACAGAGTGTGTATTTTTGCGAGGCTTAATGAGTGTGTCACTTTTTATGTTTTTAATTATTTCCTTAGAATGAATTCCCAGAGAACTAGTCAGATGGTTGAAGCATTTTTAGGGTTTTTGATACAGGTGGTTAAATTATTTACCTCTAAATAATCTAAGTGTACACATCTATCTCTGTTTTCTCTTAGCCATTTGTAGTATATTTTGTTGAATTAATTACCTTTAAAATATTTTCTAGTTTACTCTTTTCTTGTCTTTTTTTTTCTTTTTGGGTCATATCTGGTGATACACAGGGTTTACTCCCGGCTCTGGACTCAGGAGTTACTCCTGGCGGTGCTCAGGGGACCAAATGGGATCCTGGGAATCGAACCCGGGCCGGCCGCGTGCAAGGCAAACGCCCTACCCGCTGTGCTATCTCTCCAGCCCCTAGTTTATTCTTTTCATTGTTCATATTCCATATCTCTGTTGAGGGAGATAGGGGTTTATAAAGCATTGGACTGGCAGCCTTGTCCCAGAGCAGTGCGTAATGAAGCAATGGGGTCGGTAACCTGTGACTTTAGCCATCTTTGACTAACCCTGGTAGGTAATTATGAAAACTTACTCACAGAAAAGTCATATTCTTAATGACTAAGTTTAATCTTCATAACATAGAATATTTATCCTCTTTAGCAATTCTGTAAGACATTCAAGCTACTTAACCCCCCCTCTCCCCCACCACCCCTGCCTTTTGTTGTTGTTGTTGTTGTTGTTGTTTTAATTTTTATTAGTGAAACATCATGAGGTACAGTTGTAGACTTACAAATGTTTGTGCTTGGGTTTCAATTATACAGTGATCAAGAACCCATCCCTCCACCAGTTTCCATTTTCCACCACCATGGATCCCAGTATCCCTCCCACCCCCCATCCCACCCTGCCTCTGTGGCAGGGCATTCCTTTTGTTCTCTCTCTCCTTTTGGGTACTGTGGTTTGCAAAAGAGGCATTGAGTGGCAATCATGTTCGGTCTAGGTCTATAGTCTACTTTCAGCATGCTTCTCCCATCCTGGTTTTTTGGTATTTTTGGTTTGGTTAGTAGACCCTTGAGGGAATTTTTTTGAATGTTTTCCTATGCATAAAAGTTGATTTTCTTTAAACAACTTGAACTCAAAATTATAGAAGATCAGACTAGAAATTTGAGTATGGGCATTGTGCAGGATATTGGGGTTAATTAGTATGGGGAGAAAACTGTTGGAGGGCTAGAAATATGGTTCAAGTGACAGAGGCCGTATCTTGGTTGTTGGAGACCCTGATTCTAATACTTGGACTGAATGGCCCCCAGAGTGTGCCCCCGTAACAATCACACACACACACACACACACACACACGCACACACACACGCGCGCGCGCGATGGGAAAGTAGTAATCAAGGGAATGGCATTATCAGAATCCCTGATTATCCTGTGGGAGCCACAGGAAGTGAGAGACACTGGGACAAAGACTGTTAATAAGTTTTATGGTTAGGGCATTCTTGACTTATTTTTAGAACGATGTTAAGTGTTAAAACATATTTGATTTTGTGAAAGTCCAGAATGGATTTTTGGGGCTTTGGCATAAAAGTTGTTTTAATAGTGAGGTGAAGAGAGGGAACTAGCCAGCAGAGGACTGTGGAGAGGTGTTGAGGAACAGGCCTGCACGTTATTATGTACTTAAAATCAAAAGATAAGGTGAATGACAGTGTTTGTGATTAATGTATTTTCTCGTATATATAAAATATAAACATTTTATATTTCAGATGAATTTGCAACTGATCATCTGGATTGGACTGAGCAGTTCAATTTGCTGTGTACTTGGCCAAACAGGTAAGAGGGAGGGAAAGTTTATTTGCAGCCATTTTGTATAACATTTTGGCCAGTTTGGTTCCTAGAAAACCTAAATCAGATCATAGGACCCTGTCTGAAAGCCCTTCCTAGGCCCCGTGGCACTCAAGTGAAAGGAAGGTGTTTGTGGTAGCCTGCAGGACCCTTCATTGTTTCCCCTCATCTCTGCTACCCTGAGTGATGATAGGCCCCAGGGCTAGGGAAATGATCACAGGATAATAGAATAGATTACAGAAAAATCTTTTGAGAAGAAATGTGTGAGTGAGCAGAGAGAAAGCAAAAGCCTATTGTATGCCTAGAATCGAACAGAGTGTGTTAAGACTGATGGATTGGGAATTGCCCATTACTGTTTTGATAAGTGAATCCAGGGGCTGGAAAGCTAGTACAGTGGATGTTTGCATGTGGCTTACAGGCAACAGTCCCCAGCCACCCTGTTGTCCCTCAGGCCCTGCCAAGAGTGATCCTTGAGTTCAGAGCCAGGAGTAAGCCCTGAGGGTGGCTGGGTGTGACTCATCCATCTACTTACCCCTCCCCACCCCCCCAAAAAGAAGGAAAGAATCCAGGAGCAATGAACTTTTCAGAGATATTTTGAATATCTTTGATCTAAAGATCTAGCAAAAATGTTGGCTTTATCTGGAACAGGAATAAAAAATAAAGCTGAAGATCTGTTAACCTTCCTATGAGGTATATATAGCCACATCTGGAAATAAAAAGTGTATAATCTTCAAACAATCTTCATTTCAAAAAAAAATGCACTTCAACTAACAATTTGTCATCTCAGGACAGGAAGAACTGACTATATAAAAAAAATGAGAAAGCAACCATAAAGGAAATGATTGTTAAATTTGAATTTCACTAAACCAACCACAACATAAAAAAAAAAGCAAAAACCAAAACGCATTCGTATGTCAGCAACATATGCAAGATGAGAAACGATTCATAATTTAATTTTACCAATATGTTGAACTAGAATAGGAACAGTTGAGGCAGGAGAGATGGTGTAGTGGGCTGAGCACTTGCTTTGTTTGGGAGAGGCCTGAGTTTGAACCCTTGACACAGCTGGGAACAACCCTTGATCATAGGACCCGGAGGACTCCCAGATCATTGCTGCCAAAACCAATCAAACATAGAAAACTGAAGCAGATGAACATGACAGAAATATTTACAAAGCACGTTACAAAACTACAAAAGAAATGATCATTAAATAAATGAATAAGTGAAGTCCTCAATAGCTGACAAACAGTATTCTAATTTATACCTGTTAAATGAATAAAAACCATTTTCATATTTGAAAGGTAATATGGTTGAGGGATAGGAGATGGTATCACTATAATGCTTGTAGAAATAATCATTTGAATAATGCTCCCAGATAGAAATTAGTTTATTGAATCTTGAAAATGTTAATATTCAAATACTACACACACACACACACACACACACACACACACACACACACACACTTTTTAACATGATGAGGTAAGAATCAGCAGCTATCACAGTGGATGCATGTGTATGTATAGGGTACATATCTTCCTCGATGACGATGGGTTATATTCTGAGAAAATCCATGTAAGTTGAAAATACTGGAATTTGAAAATGATTTCATATACATGACTTACCCCAGTATCATTCTTAACTTCTCTTTTCAGCATGTTGAGAAAACTAACATTAGTGTAAAGTTGGACAAAACAGTTTAACCAAAGCCCATTTTATAATAGTATTAACTGTTTCACATGATTGACTGACAGCTGTACTGAAAGTGAAAAACAGATGGAGACTTTGAATTCTCACAATCGACCTACATTGCTGAAAGCTTGCCAGACGTCCTGTTGAAGAATTCAGATCGTTAAGTCAAACCATTGTAGTCACAAACCTATCTGTACATATGTTTGGAGAATCATGTGTGTACATGTGAGCAAGCATGTATGAATATCACACTCGTACAGTGGAATTGTCTAAATTTTCCAGCAGTGAATAAAGTATATTCATGTAACCATATTATCATTTTAAACTACATGAAACTTCAAGTTATAAAATAAAAACAGCTTCAAAACTAGTTTTGAACACTATACTCAGTTTCACTGTAAAGTGTCTGTCTATAAAGTGTCTGTCTATAAATTTTTGTCTATAATGAAAAAGGATGGGAAGAATTCATACAAAAATGTTAACAGTAACCTTTTGTTGAATGGGTGATTGTTTTAGTTCTCATTGCTTTTTATCTGTAAGGGAGCATACGTTAGGTTTACAACTTATTTTTATGCAATACCCAGCTGTGTTCAGGGATCATTCCCGGCGGTGCTGAGAGGACCGTGTTGTCCTGGGTTTGAACCCAGTTCAGGCAAGGCAAGTGCCTTACCCGCTGTGCTACCTCTCCAGCTATGTTTTTAATTAAAAAGTATATGGTGGGGACAGTTCCTATTAGTGCTTCCACATGAGACGTATGTCAGAAAGTCCAAAGAGTGTGAGATGTGCTCTGAATAGCTTGAAAAAAATGGGATGATGGGTTGTATGATTATGGTGGATGTTCCTAGTAGTCAGAGATCAAAAAATTACAAGAAAGTTCCCAAATATGCTTTTGGGAGTGTGAGGGTGTAGTATGAGTTAGTGAACACAAACTGCTATTTTACCCAGCTCTAAAAGTCTCGGCAATTGTGACCAATCAGTACGAAGATTCTGAAATCATGCCTTTGAAAAAACTGAATGTAGAGATTCAAAAAATGAACGAACATAGAGGTTAATGACATCAGTCTACCAGTCTGCAATAGAAAACACGATAAATTACTGTCTTTTTATTATTCTTTGTGCCAAAGTGCTCAAAAAATCACATTACTTTAGAGTATCTTTGGGGGTAGATCTGAATCAGCATGCTGACTAGGTTATCATATTTATTTTTAACAATCTTATGTATTGCATTGTTGTTCTGTTTTTCCCATTATTTTCCCATTATTTCCCATGATTTTCTCTTGAAAGTGTCACTAAAATACTTCATTGCTTCTCTTTTATGGCAGATGAAAATAAATGTTTAAAGGCAAATGCCAAATCATGCGGTGATTGTATACAAGCAGGGCCAAATTGTGGATGGTGTACAAATTCAGTAAGTAAGATTACTCAAATCCTTTCCATGTATCCCATAATAATTTAGTGTTGCCTAATATATCCATAGGAAGTTTTGGACTTGAATTTTTAGGCATCAGCTCTGTGTAGTATGCTATGTGATGGTGTAAAGCAGTGTTTCTTTAATCATTAATCAGTAGACCAGTGCCAATCTATAGGTATAAAAAGTTGAAAGTCACCGGCTTACTGCAACGGTTAACTGGTGTGCAGACAGGTTCTATGTAATGAACCTTACGAGACATAACAAGGTTGAAAACCAGGTCTTAAGCATAAATACATTTAGTCTGAAGATAGAGGCACGGTAACTTTTGAGCACTTGAAATATGAGTGGTCCAAATTGTAAACTGCTATAAACCTGAACTTCAAGGACAATGAAAAATCGTTAATAATGTTTGCATAAGCTATTAAAATGAATACCTTTTTTAGTATAACTACTAGAAAATTTACAGTAGATCAGTAAATATTGTGGGCATCTCATAATTCTTTTCATAGCGAACCTCCCACCACTAACCCACTGTCATTTAGTTGGACTGTTTTAGATTTTTTTCTTTTTTCTTTTTTGATAGCACTGTAGCACCATCCTCCCATTGTTCATGGATTTGCTCAAGTGGAAACCAGTAACGTCTCCATTGTGAGACTTGTTGTTACTGTTTTTGACATATCGAATACGCCACGGGGAGCTTGCCAGGCTCTTGCCATGCTGGCGGGATACTCTCGGTAGCTTGCTGGGTTCTCTGAGAGGGACGGAGGAATTGAACCCGGGTCGGCCACGTGCAAGGCAAGCACCCTACCTGCTGTGCTATCACTCTAGCCCTTTTTTGATAGAAGAAAGTAAACTAATCTTCCTAATTATATTTGAATTAGATTTTATTTTCATCCTCATAAAGGTTAGGGTTTTTAATTTTTTTATTCACATTTTTCACCTGTAATTAATTGCTTAACATGCTACCTTTTATAAAGTTTACTAACTGTTGAATATATGAATGTCAGGAAGTAAAGTCAGGTTGAAGGCATATAACATATTCAGAATGAATAGTTAAATGAATAGTTAATGTCAGAAGGTCAGATTTATTTGTTTTTATCCTGGCAGTTGAGCCTGCGTTTCTTGTTCCTGTTTGTTAAGCTTAACTGGTCAAACACCAGGTATTTCACAGAGTGAGAGGTTTTTGTATCACTGTTTGAAAAATTTTCTTATGTCGATTCACCTGCAAATGATATTCCAGAATCAAATTGAGAATAAAGAAAAGGATAGAGTGATGTGGGTGAGTGAGTTTATCTGAAAAGTTTGTTTAACTGAACCTCTTGGTTTTCTTCCTCTATTTTTTTCTCAACTCTTCATTTTCTTATCTGGAAAATGAACATGATTAAACCCTATTTTATGACCCTGCTGATAGGGTCATAATCATAATCAGGCTTGAAATGAAAGTGGTTTTGCTCAGAAACTTCTGAATAATTAATAATTGCTAGTAACAAAAGCCATTTTTTGAGGGTTATGATATATCTGGAATTCGGAACTCCCAATGCCTAGCCAAATTATACTTTGAATAATTTTGCCCTTTATTTTAATACAATACCTTATTTCATTGTATAATTGTCACAGATATGCTATTTTTTTCCAAAATGGAATGCAGTCATTATGTGGAACTTTTTACAAGGTTATTAACCCATTTTGGGCCTGATAAAACAGGGCATGAAGATATTGTAACAAAGTATAGTAATTCTTATATTTAAAAAGGTGATTTTGAAATGTTCGGTGAAATTTTATATGGGTGTTATGATCTTAAATTTTCTTGGATTGGTTGGTGTTTGAAAATGCAAAATGCATGAGGCTCCTCCCCTTTGGTAATATTTTAGATTTGATAATGCTCAAAAGTAGTACATTTTATGCACAAAATATTAACAATAATTAGATAGTACTGTGGACAGGGCCCTTATTTTACATGTAATTGACCCTCGTTTGAGCTCCAGCACCCCATATAGTCCCCCTGAGACCCATCAGGAGTAATCCCTGAGCACAGAGAACCACTGGATATAGCCCAAAAACCAAGTAAGTAAATAAATGGATAAAATAACTACATTCAGTATCCTTAAATGTTCTCACTTTGTACAGCATTGATTTATGATTTATAGCTGCCCAATAAAACCAAGTATAAAGTAACTCCAAACAAGAGATATCTCATCCAAGACCAAAAGTAAATGTAAAGTGAGGCATGGATGTGGTTAAGTAGTATAGCATGCACTTTGTAAGCCTCTGTATTTAATCCCTGGCACTGCACACTCCACTCGGCAGCTGGGGTATCCCTTAAGCATCTCTGGAGTCACCCTCATCTGGATGTGATCCCAGAATAAGATAATAATAGTCTTTTTGCCCAACTAAATATAACTTTTAGGTATAGATATGAATCTCTTGTACCATTTGGTTATATGTACATATCATAAAATGCTATATACATACACACACACACACAAACACATACAATCCAAATGTATTTTCCTTTTACTTTCACATTTCACGAAAACTTTAACTGAAATAGATACATTTTTTGGTTTTGGGGCCTCACCCAGCAGTGCTCAGGGCTTATTCCTTTCTCTGAACTCAGTGATCACCCCTGGTGGGACTCAGGGGACCATTCAGGGTGACAGGAATTGAACTCATATCAGCTGCATGCAAAACATGCTCCTTATGCAATGCACTATCTCTCTGACCCCAGTTTTCTTATTTAAAATGCCATTATTAATTGAGATGCTTCTGGGACAATATATTTTCTCTAAATATTTCTGTGATGGAAAATACTACATAATATCAGACTTATCTGCAGAAAATAAAAGTAAAAAGTAAAGGCCCTCCCGTTGATCATCGATTTGCTCAAGCGGGCCCAGTAACATCTCCATTGGAGACTTTGTTGTTACTGTGTCTGGCATATCCAATACTCTCGGTAGCTTGCCGGGCTCTCTGAGAGGGGCGGAGGAATCGAACTCGGGTCGGCCATGTTGGCCGCTTGTAAGGCGAACGCCCTACCCGCTGTTGTCGTATATTTCTTATTTGTGTTTGTTAATCATACTGAATAAGTGGTTTGACTATTCAGTTTTATTTGGACTAAGAAGTTTCTTTTGGTTTCACACTCTGAATTTTCACACTCTGAATTTCAGGGTGTGACTATTAAAATGTGCACTTAGATCAATCATAATGCTAAAGTGATAATAACATGTTAGTAATGAAAATACTACTTTCTAGGAAATGATTTTTTTTTTTTTAGCAAGAACTTAGGGTTTGAATGAAGGTAACTTAGGGTTTGAATGAAGGTAGCGTTTTGCTTAAAACCAGAAATAAATTTCCTTTAATAGGTGTGTCATTTAATTTTTATAATTCAAGTTAATGTGTTCAATCATATTAAAAATCTGACCATCAGGCTTTAAAATATGTGTATTTTATGTTATTTAGACATTTTTACAAGAAGGAATGCCCACTTCTGCACGATGTGATGACTTAGAAGCCTTAAAAAAGAAGGGTTGCCACCCAGATGACATAGAAAATCCCAGAGGCTCCAAAAAGATAAAGAAAAACAAAAATGTGACTAACCGTAGCAAAGGCACAGCAGAGAAGCTCCTCCCTGAAGACATCACTCAGATACAACCACAGCAGCTGGTCTTGCAGTTACGGTCAGGTACGGGAACCTCACTGTGCTGTTGTTGCTGAGGAGATCCCTCTCAATATTTGATGAAGGTTTATTTTGACTGATGGTCTGGCACACAGAAAGAAATGTGGAATATGTTAAATTTTAGGTAAAAAATTTTAAGACATAAATTATGTTTTTTACAATTTTTAAAAATTTAAATGTGTATTTATTTATTCAGTTTTTATTCAAGAGCCACAATTTACAAAGTTACTGGTAGTTATGTGTTAGGCATACACTAATTCAACACCAATCCCTCCACCAGTGTCAACTTCCCTCCCCCAGTTTTCCCAGATTCCCTCCCAATCCCAACCCCCACTCCACCCCCAGCTATCAACTTGACAGGCACATTATGAAGTTTCAGTGTCTGCCACTGAGAGCTCATGTTTTCAGTTCTGTTGGATCTGTTTAGAGTATATGGCTATACCCGTCACTTATAACACTGGTATAACTGAAGTTCTGATGCCCAGCCACCCATTACTTCTTGGACTCTTCTCCCCTCCTTGATTTCTTTCCTTCTCTGTCTCCTCTCTAAACACTGGGGTTGAGGATGATCTAAGCATCCTGCTGCATTTTACTGCGTTGGACTGCATTTTACTGCAGCAAATTGCATGATTTCATTGTTCTTTGTAACTGCATAGTGTTCCATTGTGTATATATACGGCATCATCATAATCCTTTCATCAGACATATAGAATTTCTAAGACATACATACTTAAATAAGTAAGTATTGCATCATTTCTGAAGTAGTCTTTTAAACATAAGTAGGGTATTAGATTTAATATGTTTCAAAAATGAATGTGTCCAGCCTTGGGGTATAAACCACAGGTTATAAAGAACAGTTGACCTTTTTTCTTTTTCTTTGCTTACTGTTAATCAAATGTTATTTTTTTGTTTGCTTGTTTTGTTTATGGGCCATACCAGGCTGTGGTCAGGGCTTACTCCTGGCTCTGCACTCAGGGATCACTCTTGGCAGTGCTGCGGGACCATATGGGAAATCAGACCCAACTCCACCTCTTGGAAGACAAGCTCCCTACATGCCAGCCCATAATACTAAGATTTTTATAGGAATCTGTGGTAACTGCGTATAAATAACCAAAACCATTTCACGCCCCTCTTTCATTCCCATTTGCTCCCAGAGGCCTTGCGCATTGCCCCATTTCATGATCCTCCTTACAGGGCTTGGCATTTTAAATATTTGTTGAACAGAACTGAGTCCACATCCAGGAGTTAACCTTATGAAATTACCAGGTTTTTGTGGAAATGATGATAAGGATTTAGATGATAAGAGTTTACTTGTAAATGCGGTTTATTTGGTTTCTCTAGCTTGCTTTTGATTGCAAGGCAATTTCATTTTCTAATCTTTCTTGAATTAGGGGAGCCTCAGACATTCAAATTAAAATTCAAGAGAGCAGAAGACTATCCTATTGATCTCTACTACCTGATGGACCTCTCGTACTCTATGAAAGATGATTTGGAGAATGTGAAAAGTCTCGGGACGGATCTGATGAATGAAATGAGGAGGATTACTTCAGACTTCCGGATTGGTAGGGATATTGAGAAAATCAATCATTTTCATTTGTGGAATTCTTTTTCTTTTTCTCTTTTTTTTTTTTTGTTTCTTGGGCTACACTCAGCTGTGCTAAGGGATCATACCTGGTGGGGCTTGGGGTGCTGGGATGGAACTGGGGTCCTTGTCCAAGTCAAGTCCCTACTCACTATGCTATCATTCTGACCCCACTTTGTGTAATTCTTGACAGTCTTTTTTGTTTTTTGACTACATAATTTTGATAAACAAGCCAGGGTTTTTTTTGTTCCCCCCCAGTTTGGGGGCCATACCCAGAAGTGCTTAGGACTTAGTGCTGGCTTTGTGCTTAAAGATCATTTCTGGTGGTGCAGTGAATGGGGACAGTATATGGTGCTGGGGATCAAGCCTAGGTTGGTTATGTGTAAGACAATCACCCTACCCCTGTCTGTCACTCCAGCCTAACAGGTTTTTTTAAATTCTTTTTTATGTTATTTTTTGTTTGGGGGCCACACCCAGCACTGCTCAGGAGGAATTACTCCTGGTGGTGTTCAGGGGACCATATGGGATGTCAGAGATCAAACTGGGTTGGCCATGTGCAAGGCAAATGCCCTACCTGCTATACTGTTGCTCTGGCCCCTATTTTTTCCCCCTTTCTGCAAGGAGTAAGTACCCCTAAGGTCTGACCACTGTCAAATGTCTGATAATACTTACCTGCCTCCTTGTTCCACTATTCCTGCACACTGCCATCCTGTTTGACACATTCTATGCCACCAAGATAGTGAAATACATGCTCTTATTTTACAGAAATTTATTCTTCTTTTTCATTTTTTGCTTATGGGTCACACTTGGCAGTGCTCAGGGCTTATTCCTGGCAGGCTAGGGGGTGCCAAGGTTTTAACCCAGGCTAGCCAAGTGTCTTACCTGCTATACTATCTCTCTAGCCCCTATTCATTTTTTTTTAATTTTACAAACATGTTTTGTACGTGAGTACTCAGATTTTACTTTATTACTAATTAATATGAACACGCTGTATAACATTTTTTATGAGCGATTCATTTCCCTATGGTAATAAACACTTTAAAAATACAAGTTGATTCATCCATGCATCCATATATCCATACATCATCTCTCTTATTTGCATTTTTCCTTTACAGGGTTTGGATCATTTGTAGAGAAAACTGTGATGCCTTATATTAGTACAACACCAGCTAAGCTCAGGAACCCTTGCACAAGTGAACAGAACTGCACCAGCCCATTTAGCTACAAAAATGTGCTTAGTCTTACTGATAAAGGAGAAGTATTTAATGAACTTGTTGGTAAACAACGCATATCTGGAAATTTGGATTCCCCAGAAGGAGGCTTTGATGCAATTATGCAAGTTGCAGTTTGCGGAGTAAGTGCATTCATTTTTTAAAAAATAATATTTGTGTGAACTTTAAGTGTAAGTTAATAGAAATTTTTACCTTAATTACCATATCCAAGTTAATTATTCCAGAGTAGTAAGTAATTTAGTCCCTTAGATTCCTGTAACTACAAGTATTTTATAAAATCATGTTTAACTGTTATTATCCCCACTTAAATCAGGCCATTCCTTCACTTATACTGGGTTTGTTTCTTTTTTGATTTTGGGCCACACCCAGCATTGCTCAGGGCTTACTCTGATTTAGTGCCCTGGCAGAGCTCGGGGCATCCTGTGTGGTACAGGGACCAAACCTGAGTCAATGTAAACCTGTGTACAATGCAAATGCTGTACTTGCTGTCTGTACTAGTGCCCCAGCCCATTATACAGGGTTTTAAGGACCAGTGTGTTTAGTGACAGTGAACTAGTTTGGCTTTATGTATTCAAGCTGGTGTTCTCATGTTTTAGAAGAGGACCAAGTGTTCTAACTTTCTGACTTTGTAGCAAAAACGGAATTAAGGCTTTCTGAAGTATCACTGAGAATATCAAAAATTTTCACACACAAACAGCTTCTCATCCACCATTTTTCTTTGATTCATTTTGTTTTGCTCATTGAGACATCCTTGTGTCTTGACAGTTCAAAAAGAAATAACTTTTTAAGTCTTAATTTCTAATCAATACAAAAACTTGATTTTTGAAGTCGTATTTTTCACTTTGGTTGCAACATCTTCCTTATTGGCAGCCTCATCTCTTTTGTATCAGTGGTTAGGATTTATGAAGCATTTACCGAGAAAGAATTTTAACATGACCCAAAAGATATCCCTGAAGTTGAAACTAGAAACATCTTGATATAACTAAAAGATTGTCCTAAGCATGGGGTGTGTCCTATTCGACCTTTACTTCTCCTATAGAACCTCTGTTCCCTAACAGATTTCCTTAGTTTTAGGTGCTTTCTATCAGTTATTTTTCAACCAGTTTTTGTAAGGTGCCAACTGACACCTATGATAATCCATGAGGCAATGTGGTTAAGATATTTCTTTAGATTGTTACAACACGGCATCAAATTTTCCCTTCACCACCAATCTGAAGCATTTACTTAAACCATTCTAGAGGGTTATTTCATACTCTGTTTCTGAGCCACACTCAGTGGTACTCAGACTGTTGCTCCAACCCCATTCTTAAGAAGGACTAATAAAAGATATATACTTCTGTGAAGCTGAAATATAGTATATCAAATGCTGAAAAACACTTAGCAAACTTGAGGCTACTGCATTATTATTATTATTATTGCTTCTTTTGTGTTCTCAAGAGAGCAGTTTTTTAACTTTTTTTTTTAATTTTTAGTAGTGAAACACCACGAGGTACAGTTGTAGACTTATAAATTTTTGTGCTTGGGTTTCAAGTGATAAAATACCCATCCCTCCACCAGTGCCCATTTTCTACCACCAATGATCCTTGGTTTGCAAAAGAGACATTGAGTGGCAATCATGTTCGGTCTATAGTCTACTTTCAACATGCTTCTCCCATCCTGGGAGGATCCTCCCAACACCCTTTATTTGGTGCTCCCTTCTCTATCTGAGCTGCCTTTGCCCCTAGCATGTGTGGCTGACCTCCAAGCCATGGAGTAAACCTCCTGGTACTTATTTAGGTTATTCTTGGGTATTAGTCAATAGAGCAGTTTTAATGTAAGACTTATTAAGTGTTACTCCTGGCTGTGTTCAGGGGCCAGGCTAAGGGACCATATGTGAAGATGAAACGATTGACACTGAATTTTGGTAATACTTAAAAATTGAAATCCTTCTCTTTTCAAGTCCTTGATTGGCTGGCGGAATGTTACCCGGCTGCTAGTATTCTCTACAGATGCTGGCTTTCATTTTGCTGGAGATGGAAAGCTTGGGGGTATTGTTTTGCCAAATGATGGTCAGTGCCACCTCGAAAATGATGTGTACACAATGAGTCATTACTATGTAAGTACTGAAGTCCTTGTTTTGTGAATGGATTCATACTGTGTCTTCATGTGTAAAACACATGAAGTGACTGACTGTGGTTTTGAGTGACTGACTGTGGTTTTTTTAGGGTTTGGGGTTTTGTTGTTTTGAAAATTAAGAGCCCTAACCTAAGTACAGGAAAGCTAGTACCGCTATTCCTAAAGCTATGGCTTTGTGCTCACTTCTTTCTGTTTAGACAAGGTCTCAGAACAGGAAAGGGGCCATTCAAGCACTTTGGTTCCTTGCCTCAACGTAATCTCCTCTTATGCATATGTCCATTTGGTAGGAAATTTGTCACTGATGTCCTATAGTTCCATCCACATAGTGGCAAATTATATTTTTTCAATTTTTTCTCACAGCTGAATAATATTCCATTGTGCATATGGTATATATGTACCACACTTTCTTTATTCACTCTTCTGTTCTTGAGCACTTGTTTCTGGATCTTTCTTGGCCATCATAAGTAGTAGTGCTACAAATGAACATGGGAATTGTTGGGTTTGGGTTGGTTAGGTTTTTTTTTTTGGGGGGGGGGTGGTGTTTGTGTTGGAGTGGTGGTGGGGGGTGTTGAACCACATCCAACAGTGTCCAGAGCTTGCTCCTGGTTCGGCACTCAGGAATTACTCCTGGAGGACTTAGGACCATATGGATTGAACCCACGTCAGCTGCATGCAAGTCGAGTGCCTTATTTATTGTATTATCACTCTGGCCCTGGCACAAAGGAGTTCTAAATATCTTTTCAAAATACCTTTTTTCGATTCTTTTGGATGATGCTAAGTGGAAAATCTGAGTCAGCCATTGGGAAACAGAATACTTTTTGAGAATTCTTCATACTGTTTTCCTAAGAGGGTGAACCAGATGATATTCCCACCAACAGTAGCTGAGGGTTCCTTTTCCGCACATACTTACCAGCACTGGTTGTTCCTATTCATTTTAATGTGTACCAGTCTTATTGGTACGAGGTGATGTCTCATGTCATTTTGTTTCCATTTCTATCACTTTCTGAAGTACACTTTTTTATATACCTATAGGCTGTATGTCTTGAGAAAGTATCTGTTCAACTATTCTTACCATTTTTTGCATGGGATTGTTTGTTTTGTTTGTTTTTTAAAAATATTACGAATCTCTTTTGTGTGTGTGTGTGTGTGTGTTTGCTTTTTGGGTCACACCCAGCAATGCTCAGGGGTTACTCCTAGCTCTGCACTCAGGAATTACTCCGGGTGGTGCTTGGGGGACCAGTGGGATGCCGGGGATTGAACCCGTGTCAGCGAGTACAAGGGAAGTGCCCAAACTGCTATACTATTGCTCTGGCCCCAAGTATTAGAAATCTTAAATAGTCTTTTGTGGGAGAGTTATAATGCAAATCACTATACTCTTTTAAAAAGTATTAAAATAGACTGAATATTAATACATACTGAATTTTGTTATTTAATTTCTTAGGATTACCCTTCTATTGCTCACCTTGTCCAAAAGCTTAGTGAAAATAACATCCAGACAATTTTTGCAGTCACTGAGGAATTTCAGCCTGTTTACAAGGTAAATTTGTGTGAGATAAAAACAAAAAATTTCTTGGCTCTAGTCATTACAGGTAAATCTTATTTCTGAATTAAAAGTGGGAAAATGTAGCTAATTGTTTCTTTCAAGTAAGACTTCTTAAGTTATTAAGGAAATATACAAGAAATTGGTATTTGAAAATAAATATTAGATGCTAAGAGGAGCTAGTTGTTGAATTTTTATATGCTCTACCTTTTTAATTGCAGGAATTGAAAAATTTGATCCCTAAATCAGCAGTAGGAACATTATCTGCAAATTCTAGCAATGTCATTCAGTTGATCATTGATGCATACAATGTAAGTATATTTTAAGTAAGATCGGTCTTGAACAGTACTCTGTTGAGAATATTTTGTGTTCATAAAGTAAAATATCCTATGAAGTAATAAAGTACATATTACAAATGATAATACTTAGCAAGTCCAGTGGACAACGTTATACCTAAATTTCATATATCTGTTAAATAACTTAATGTGTTACAAAAGCATAATTATTTGTGTAACCTAAAATAAATATGAGAAAGGCACATGGGGAAAAGTTTTGAGTAAATCAGTTTGAATCACATTAAGCAGTAACTTTCCTTGCTGGAAAGCATGTGTGACACATCATTTACATTTAGATATATAGAATTCCTTCAGTTTTTCTTTTCTTCTTCCCATTATCTTATATATAAGTTTAATCTACTTGGATGGAAAAAGTTTTTTTAAGTGTTCCCTCTTTTGTTAATTGTTGTGAGGACAAGGGTTACGTCAGGTGGTGCCGGGGATTCCCTCCTTACTGGGATCAAATTCTCACTTTGAACATGCAAGACTTGTGCTTGACCCCCACCTCTGATTCCAAGATATGCCCTTTGAAAGGCTTTTTTTGACTATTGTTGTCTTACATATTTAGAAGCTCTACTGTTCTGTTCTTTAGAGGTACTTGTAAGTAAGAATTATTTTAGAAAGATTTATGATAGGCTTTCTAACACACAGCAGGAGCTTGAATTAAAAATTAATGAAGAGTTCTTTTGTCTTTCTAGAACTTAATTTGGAACACCTTTTAGTGATACTCATTAGACATTGGTTTGCAACCATTTTAATCTGAAAGAGATTAGAAATATTTTCAAAATTGTAGTTGTTCAATTTTTCTGTCTTAAAGAATATCTTAATATATCTTTCAAAACACCTATCATGTCATTCTATGAGAGAAAGTTAGTTACGGCAGCATTTTCCACTTATTGTCACAGTTCTGATATTTTTGAAAAAGCACTGACTTGAATCCTTGATAGATTTTGTTCCTGGATTATATAGTCATTCATTTTCCTTGACAGGAAATAGAAGGGCCAGAAGAGAGACCAATAGTATATTACCAATTTTGAAAGAAAATGCTTGTTGTGAATTCCTAGACTTATTATCAGGTTTCTCTATGTGACCATTAGTATTTTGATTCATAATTAAACCAAGTATCTGATTTTATTAAGTTGAGCCTACTTTTTCTGAGTTCTGGGCTTTCTTGGTCAAATTTGGCTCAAATATTTTACATAAATGCTTTTTTTCCCTTAATACCATTTTTTCCTTTGTAGATTTGTCTTATTTTATAGTAGCACTTTGTTTGCTCTCTCTGTATCTAATTAGTCCTTCTTGTAGTCTCTTTCCTCAGAAGTCATTCTGGAAAACAGTAAGTTACCAGAAGGAGTGAAAATAAGTTACAAGTCGTACTGTAAAAATGGAGTGAATGGGACTGGGGAAAATGGAAGGAAATGCTCCAATATTTCCATTGGAGATGAGGTATGTTGTAGAAATATTTTCTCTAGAAAAGAAAACAATTACTGGTATCATAATTGCAGAAACAATGAATGAGTAATTTTTTTTCCCAGATATTTCCAATAGACTGAAATTGTTTCCATAACTTTCCTTCTAGGTTCAATTTGAAATAAACATAACTTCAGATAAATGCCCAAGTAAGAATCCTGAAACAATTAAAATTAAGCCTCTGGGCTTCACTGAAGAGGTAGAGATTATTCTTCACTTCATCTGTAATTGTGAATGTGAAAAGGAAGGCATCCCTCATAGTCCAAAGTGTCATGACGGAAATGGAACTTTCGAATGTGGAGCTTGCAGGTGAGCTTGCGGTGGTTGGAGAATGTCGGCAAGACCTGTGTGGACTCTGAAGCAGTGTGGGGGCTCTAGTCTGAATAGTCAGAAGGTCTGTTCGCTTGAAACGGATGAACTATTCCTTTCAGTCCTATTTGGACAAAAGTTTCAATAACTTTTGCCCACCACAAGATTAATTTCATAATATTATAGTTGGTAGTTCTTCCCTTTTCTTCTTTTGAAACTGTTCTGTACATTTAAAGTTTCTTGGCATGTTTTTTTCCCCTTTGAGGCAACTCTTTTTAATTAATTTTTTTAATTTTTTTTTTTTTTTTGTGGGGAGCGGTGTTGATTACACCCAGTAATGCTCAGGGCTTACGGGCTTACTTCTGGCCCTGTGCTCCAGGATTATTCTTGGTCAGCTCTGGGGACCCTCTGGGGTACTGGGGATCAAATCCAAGTCATCTGCATACAAGATCTGCTGTAAGGTATCACTAGTTCCTTAACAACCACCAAACTGAATACAGGCTTGCTCTTCAAGCCTGAGTTCTCCCTTGAAGATGTGTCTCACTTGCTTGTCTATATGTATCTCTCTCTCTCTCTCTCTTTCCCCTCATGATCTTTGAAAGCAAATTTTGTTCAATTGAAAATTATCTTCACACACACACACACACACACACACACACACACACACACAGACATTCACATGAAGAATGAAAAATAAACTCTTCTTGAACAGTCTGTGCCATAAGATACATTTATTTCTTAAATAGTAGCTTATTTACATTTTCAGTTGATATGATCATGTTTTTCTTCAACTCCTATGTGCTTTCTGGAGGGAGTTTATGGTACTTTTCTCTAATAGGTGTACTATTCTATGCATTTAGACATTGTTTACTCATTATTATATAATAGCATATCATTTGAAGGCATAACTTGTATATTCTTTTAAAATAAGCTTATCCCAAGGTTAAAAATATTTTGTTGACAAGCTTATTGTCAAATCATATTTTCAGTATTGATTAAAAAAATCTTTGTTACCAAAGAAAGAATTTTTCCCAGTCCCATGCCTCTCTTCCATATGAATTTTGTATGTGTGTTTGTGCTCATGTGTTCACTTTTGCTTATCAGTGGCATGAAGATTCCTCTGTAAAATAATTGTAGATTAAAGACCCTGTTTCTAGTTTCTAGTCTTCATTTCCTCTCCTAGTTGTTTTTTTTTTCTTTTTTAACATATTACTTTTCTCACAAATTATTTTATTTTATGTGATTGAAATCTCGGCCTCTTCCTTTAGGTGCGACGAGGGACGTGTTGGTAGACACTGTGAATGTAGCACTGATGAAGTGAACAGTGAAGATATGGATGCTTACTGCAGGAAAGAGAACAGTTCAGAAATCTGTAGTAACAGCGGAGAGTGTGTCTGCGGACAGTGTGTGTGTCGGAAGAGGGATAATACGAATGAAATTTATTCTGGCAAATTCTGCGAGTGTGATAATTTCAACTGTGATAGGTCCAATGGCTTAATATGTGGAGGTAAGAATGGGTTCCAAAAGTATGACCCAACAATAAACAGTGTTGTGTATTCCCAGTGAGTAAAGAGAAAAACGGGCTATGTTAAGGATCAGCCGATCTTTAGATGTACTTCCTTCCGTTTTACTACTTATTCTCACATCAAATCAATGCTGCAATCTTGTTCTCACCATTGCATTGAGAAATATGCTTCATTGCAGGGAATGGTGTTTGCAAGTGTCGGGTGTGTGAATGCAACCCCAACTACACTGGCAGTGCGTGTGACTGTTCTTTGGATACTACTTCATGCATGGCCACAAATGGACAGATCTGCAATGGCCGAGGCATCTGCGAGTGTGGTGCCTGTAAATGTACAGACCCGAAGTTTCAAGGACCAACATGTGAGATGTGTCAAACCTGCCTTGGTGTCTGTGCTGAGCATAAGTAAGTATTTCCTTGTTCCTTGAAACAGTTGTTTACCGTCGACTTAACTCTGTGTCATAGCAGTGCCATAGCAGTGCCAGTACTACGTGCACTGTAAAGTACACTGAAGCCCAGTCTGTTTTAAAAACTCTTTCTCAACAGCTTGTGTTTGTCACAGGAAAGTGAAATGTGTTACAGGAAAAGTGATTGTTTATCACTTGCATTTGCTAGGTAATTGAATCCCTGTGGTTACCTCGTTAAATTACATTACCAGTTGCTTGGTCACTCAAAGGGAAATAGAAGGTTTTTTACTCCGTGAAAAAATAGTATTGAACCAGCCCTACCCGCTGTGCTATCGCTCCAGCCCGTTTTGCTATCAGTGAGAGCAAATTTACATTGCTGATATGATGTGCATCTTTATTTTCCCTAATGAAACTACTGTGTTTCAATAAAAGCAGAAAACTTTGTATACACAGGAAATTCACTGCAGTCCATACTGTGATAGTTGAGTCTGAACCGAGGTGTTTCAGTAATGTTCATTATTAGTGTTGTTCAGTAACGTTTGTTGGCGTTGGTGGCGTGATGACGTGTACTGTGGAAAGCTCATGTATGTTCTGAGTCACGAAGACACAAGATGCAGCATGGCCTTGTGCTGCTAGAAACCTCTCAGATTCGTTTTATATTTGATTTTGAATTAATTTTTGGCCATAATGTGTTCCAAAACCTTGAGCTGTTGCCAGGCTTTTTGCAGCCTCCATGTTTAGTTATATGCAAACCTGTGTCTCATGGTTTAAGCGTTAGCACAAAAATAATGTTCACGCAGAGAATTTTACACAAAAGAATACATTTAAATCTAATTTGCATTTTGACAGGGAATGTGTCCAGTGCAGAGCCTTCAATAAAGGAGAAAAGAAAGACACGTGTGCACAAGAGTGCTCACATTTTAACATTACCAAGGTGGAAAATCGGGACAAATTACCTCAGCCTGGCCAGTTTGACCCGCTCTCCCACTGTAAGGAGAAGGATGTTGACGACTGCTGGTTCTATTTCACATACTCAGTGAATGGGAACAACGAGGCCATTGTCCATGTTGTGGAGACTCCAGGTAGAAATCTGATCGTGGCAAAATTTCTTTCATTTTTCTCCTATGTCTTATTTCTCCTGTTTAGATCTATTGCTACTTTCCCTAGCATCCTGAACCTCCAATTGGATCGTTTTAGGTTCAAGTTGAGGCCTTTTTATTTATTTGGTTTGGGAACCACACCCTGCTCTGCACAAGATCATTGCTGGTGGGATTGGGGGATTGTATGGGGTGCCAGGGATCGAATCTGGGTCAGATGCATACAAGGCAAGTGTCCTACCCACTCTACTATTTGTCTAGCTCCTGCTGAGGTTTGTTTTTTATTTTTGCAGAGGGCTAGGGTGCACACCCAGCAATGCTCAGAGGTTACTCCTGTCTCTGCACTCGGGCATACTGGTGGTGCTTGGGGGGCTATATGGGATGCCCATGATCAAACCTGGGTCAGCCACATGCAAGGCAAGAGCTCTCCCTGCTAGACTGTCTTTCTGCCCACCCTACCCTTCCACCCCCTCATCCTCTGTTGAGACATTTTTAAGTCTCTCAAAACAAAATAGTATTTAAGAAATAAGGAAAAGAGAAAACAAGTTTTAAGTTTTTAAATTTTTACCTCATTTACCTTTAGCCTTTACCTCCCTGCTCCTTGTCCTTTAATTTTCCAGTAGTGGTTTTTTAAGATCAAAAAGCTTATAATTTGATAAATTGCAGTTTATCAAGTTTTTCTTTTAATGGGTCTTGCTTTTACTATTTTATCTAAGGATTGTTTGCCTAAGCAACACGAATTTCCTCCAGCGTTTTTTATTGTTGGCAGGGAAAGGGAAGGATTTTGGGTTTGGGGGCCAAGCCTGGTGGTCCTCAGGGGTCACTCCCAGTGGCAGTAGAACCTCGGCCTCCTCCGTGCAATGCTGCCCTCCTGCTCCTTGTGCAGTCTTGCAGGGCCTTCTTGGGGCTGCTTCCAGCGCTTTGTACTCTTATTCCCACTCTTTCGGAAAACATTCAGTGCACCCCTGGGAATCTGCCTTTTTAAGGAATAGGCAGTGCTTCCCACTGGCTCCTGAAGTTACTGCTGTCACCCCAGAATCATTCCAGAGGTCTCACTCCACTGCCCTGGGCAGGAGGGGGCAGTGACTTTCACTTTGGGCAACACTTCTAGAAGTTTTATAGTTACTTTTAGATGTGGATCTCATTTTTTTCAGTAGTATCTACAATGAGTTTCAGGTTTTTTGCATCCAAGTGTTCAGTAGTGACAGCACCATTTGGTGAAAAGATAATTAAATGACTGTTTCTATATATGTCTTCGTTTCCTTTACACATTCCACATTACACATGCCATTACTATTTTTCAGAGCTGCTCTGGAAATATGGTAATGTGGGTTTCCGGCTTTATTCATTTCCCCAAATATTTTCAAGACATTTCATTGTATTTTCTGTCTTGCTGGTAAATTTTAGATCGAACTTCCTGTCACCTATAACAGTCCTCCCAGGATTTTAGATGGGATTGAACTGAGTTTATAAATCAAACTGAGGGAGAATTGACATTTTCACAATAGTGAGTCAGCCAATAAGTAAACATGAAATAGGTCTGCATTTATTCTGGTTTTTGATTTCTTTCATCTCTCTTCAATAATTTTCAGCATACAAATCTTGTGCACATTTTATTAGATTTATACATAAGTATTTCATGATTTTTGATGCTATCTTCAGATTTTTTTTTTTTTTACTTTTGTAACTGTAACCAAAATGTTGTTTTGATAACTGATCATCTATCCTCTGACCTTTTGAACTCCTTCGGTTGTTCTGGATTCTTTGGAGTAGATGTTTACATATCTTGATTTTTATTGCTGTGGGATTTTTTTTTGTTTGTTTTTCTTTGGGGGCCACACCTACCAATGCCCAGGGATTACTCCTGGTTTTGCACTCAGGAATCACTCTGGAGGTGCTCAGGGAACCATATGGGATGCTGGGGATTATACCCAGGTCAGCCACATGTAAACACCCTATGTACTGTACTGTTTCATCAGCCCCTGCTGTGTGTTTTTCTAAGATACTGTGCAGTTCTTTGTAGTTTTGATTTCTGCATATTTTAATCCCTAGTGTGTTCATTCATCTTTCTTCAGAGTGTCCCACTGGACCAGACATCATCCCAATTGTAGCAGGTGTGGTTGCTGGAATTGTTCTTATTGGCCTTGCGTTGCTGCTGATATGGAAGCTTTTAATGATAATTCACGATAGAAGGGAATTTGCCAAATTTGAAAAGGAAAAAATGAATGCCAAATGGGACACGGTAAGTTGCAAAACTTCAAATAGTAAGGTAGTTCATAAAGTAAATAGAATACTTTTAAGACATTTATTCACTTTAAAACTGATCATTGAATTCTTTAAATATTTTATTGCCAGTTTATTTTTCAAAGAACTTGCATTTTTTTAAATCATAAGTATATCCTATACAGCATTAAAAGAATGTATCTTTTGGATATTGTGTGTTCAAATTTGTTTATAATATTTATCTTAAATCTGTTCTGCTCCCCCCCCACCCCCCCAATCTTGCATAAGGTATAATTCTAAATAAGGTTCTGTGTTTGGCAAGCTCTTCATTGGAAAGTTTCTCTCTCCTTTTTTCATTAAGAATTCTTTGAATAAATAGAAAGCAGCCAAACTCAAAAAGGGTACATACTGTTTGTTTCTATTATTCAGTACTCTGTAAAATGCAGACCTATAAGGCAGAAATAAGTGATTTCTTTGGGTCTGGAGTGGGTCCAGCGGACATGAGAAATCTTGGTGTGATTTTGATGTATGTATATACATTGAAGATCTCTCGAGTTCTATTCTTATGGCATATTTCAATTTCTGCAGATTATGATCCAATAAAATTTGCTTTAAGTTTGTTCCAGTCTTCTTAAATTTGTTATTTTGAAATAGATATTCATTGGGTTGGATGATAAAATACTGCTCCTCTAATAATCATCTTTTCATTAAAGAAATAAGTGATATTTTAAAATTGTAAATGACATTTTTGTCATTAGCATTTTACTCTATTTTCTTTGGGTGTTAAAATTAATATCAGGAGAGTAGCACTGTAGCACTGGCCTCCCGTTGTGCATCAATTTGCTCAAGCGGGCACCAGTAACATCTCCATTGTGAGACTTCTTGTTAACTGTGTGGCATATCGAATACATCACGGGGAGCTTGCCAGGCTTTGCCCTGCGGGCAAGATACTCTCAGTAGCTTGCCGGGCTCTCCGAGAGGGGCAGAGGAATCGAACTTGGGTCAGTCAGCCTTGTGCAAGGCAAACGCCCTACCTGCTGTGCTATTGCTCCAGCCTGTCAGAAGAGTACAATTAGTACAATTAGTAAAATAGTTAGAAAATTTTTTTTGGTGATTAAACACTTATGTATGTGCTTGTTTAATTTTTCTGACAAAATCACTAGAAACTATTTCTTTTACTTTAGCAAGAAAATCCGATTTACAAGAGTCCTATTAATAATTTCAAGAATCCAAACTATGGACGTAAAGCTCGTCTCTAAATTGCCGTTCGTATTTTCTTTCACTTTCTGCCTTTGCATGTAAACTTTATTCCTTTTTTTTTCTTCTTACTGCACTGTGTGTCTTTGATCACTATCGCAATTTCCCTAAAGTCTGGCTTTATTTACATGGCTTTTCTTTTCATGTATTAATTTAGAATTGTTTAGGAGGGCTTTGAAATAAGCTTTATAGTGTAGAAGCAGCATCTGTATTGTATTAAAACAAGAATCCGTGGTTAGAAAGATTCAGGCTCAAATCTCAGCTCTTTCACTCACTTCCTGGATCTTTATTTTATTATAGTTTTTGCTTGTGGGTCACACCCAGTGTGGCTCAGGGGTTACTCATGGTTCTGCAATCAGGAATCACTCCCGACGGTGCTCAGGGAACCATATGGGATGCTGGGGATGAAACCTAGGTCGGCCGCCTGCAAGGCAAACGTTCTACCCATCATACTATTACTCCGGACCCTGTTTTTTTATATTGTTAAAAGGAGTCAGTACTAATATCTATTATATGATGCCGTTGTTTTTGACTAATGAATTACAGTCATGAGTTTATAATTCTCATGGATATTGCTATGCTCTAGTTGGCATTTCTCTATGTAATGAGACATCCGATAATTGAATTTTAGGGTAAAATAGTGAAAAACAATTGTGATATCTACATTGCAAAAAAAATGTCAGCTAGCTTTAGTATAATACACAATTATGCTATTGTTATTGAACTTGGAACTCCACTACAAACCAGAAGACTAGGGGGCCAGAGCGATAATACAGCGGGTAGGATGCTTGCCTTGAACACAGCCAACCCGGGTTCAATCCCTTTTGTCCCATGTGGTCCCCCGCAAGCCACCAGGAGTGCAGAGTCAGGAGTTATCCCTGAGCACTGCCGGATCTGGCCCCCAAACAAACAAAAAAACACACTAGAAGACTATGTGCATTTTTCTCATATGTTAAGTGATTTTGAATGATTCTTGAATGGTTCTGATTTTTAAATTTAAACTTAAAAAAATAGATTATGGCTTTAAAAAGTCTTATTACAGTTTTAAAGAAGACCTTACTTGAAAATCTTCTAATTATAATAAGGCTTGTATTCTCCTGTTCTTTAAGAGAGGATACATTATTTTTGTGTATGCTTTTACCTGGATTACAAAATTGTAGTTTTATCAGTAGTGGACAGGATTCTTCCTTATACATTAGTTTTCATGAAAAACTTATACTTAAATGCACTCATATAAGCCCCTAAAACTCAGTTAAATAAGTTGATTTGAGTTAAAGTTCTCCAGACTCCTGTAGCAGAACTTCCTTTCCTTATTCATTATTATTTCACAAAGGAGAAAATGGAGGCACCCGAGGGTTAGGTGTCACGTGACAGAAGCTGAGATTTCAAACACAGCATTTGGGCATGAGGGGTTCTTGGACCTTGTGCTGGTAGCGGATGCTTATCTGCTGCAGGAGACTTACTAGTTTGGAAGTTTCTAAAAGAACTTTTAGAGCATTCATTCTAGGTGTTTGACATTTGTTGGATCCCAGAGTAACACTCCTTCTTTGGACAAACTTTGTAATGGGCAAGCCACTTTACTGCATAGCATCCAAAAGGCTTATTTTACTTATTGGGAATCATACAAAGCAGTTTAAAAAAGAACATTCTAAAATAAACATGTTGATGCTTTTACGAGCTACAAGAAGTAACTAATAACATAGGAAGCCATTACTTTTTGGACTCCTTTTCTTTTATTTCTGGTATTTTTTAAACTTCCTAATTGGCAAAGTTCTGCCAGTGGCAGGAAATTATTGCCAGATTATAGACAGGCAGACTGATGCCTTTTTAAACACTGGTTACTCTTTTTCTGTCTCTTTACTAACACCTCATAGGAAGTTATTTTTAGAGGAAAAAAAGATTTGTTGGAGTTATTTTCTCCTTCCTGGTATGTCATTTAACATTGACAATTTCTCATGAGGAAAATTTTACTACGTCCTACTAAGAGATGAAATCTTTACCATTGTACTTTTAAGGGCTTTATTAGTGATGTATAACGAAACTTGATGCTTATACTGTTTTAGATAAAACCTTCCTTTGTCAAGCCAAAATAAATAACCCTTTTGTAGAAATGTTAGAAGCAAAAGTTTGGTAAAAATGCCTTTGTTCATTAGTGAAATCCAGGCAAATGAGTGACTAACAGATTGAGAGTCCTTAAAATTGGAAAATAAATAAACGAGCACCAGTAATGAAAACAAGTCCTGGAATTATTCCTGATAGTTTTCCGATAAGGAACCGAGGTTTTCCAGTGAATTCTGTCTTTTAATATGTTTTGGATAAAGAGCAGGTGCTGTTTCTTTCAGTGTGATGGGTTTATCGGAGAGGTATATTTTTTTTAAATGATCAACTCCGGAATTATGTGTATTGGAAAAAACTGTTTGGACCAGCCTCCCCTGCTGCTTTGCAAATTTAAATGTGAAGTTCTGACCACCCACCGTTATGCATTAGACTGTTTTATAGCCACGGCCATTGCCGTGTCAGTGCAAGAATAACATTGTCTTGAGTGCAGAGGACATCCTTTCTCAATCTGAGCCTGTCCTCTGGGTTTTGCTAGGCTTTGCTTTTGGTGGAGATGGGATGGTTTGCATTCTGAATGGTGGAAACTAATCTGGAGTCTTTTAATGTACCATTTTTGGAAATGATGCCTAATGCAAATTGTTTAATTTTTGCTCTAACCTTGCATGTTAAACTTATTTGGTTGGACTTCAAAATGATAAATAAAAATATTTGTTTAAATGAAAATACAAACTTTTCTCCAAAGGTAAGTTCTGCCATATAAATGGTACTTTGGACTCAATTATTACCTTGATTTTTTTTGTTTGTTTGTTTTCTGATTCCTTTTGGTATCTCCTAAGTATCACTCCATATTAAAGATATGTTACATGTAACTTTAAAGAAACACAGTGGTAACTTACTTGCCCAGTATATTTGAAAGGATGGGAAGTACTAGCATTATATGTAGATACAAAGATAGAAATAAAATGTGTAAATTACTTGAACCATTGTTAAAAATATTGCTGGGATCACTGTTTTCTGTAATACCTGTACAGTGTTTCATTTCACTCCAGGTTGAATAGAGCTTAGAATTTGAACATTATTTTTTATCATCCAGAAACTACCAGTAATGTTTATCTTTTTGGGGTCTCGAGTTCTCCCATGTTTCTGATGTATTTTTGAGGGGTGGAATGGGAAGGGAGTGAGAATAAGGCGTGTTGTATCTGCTGGTATCAGTTTCACTGCTGAGCTGGAGTCAAGGGAGTTTTACTGGATATATCTTTGGATCCAGCAGCTTAGGTGCCTCATTTCCCTTTTATGATTTCATATCTGTGGAATAAATCTGGATCTCAGTAGCATGACATGCATACCTTTCTGATTCGGCTCTGCTTTCATCTTTTTGTTTCCTTCTCCTCCCTATGCCTCAAAATATTACATTCAACTATATGACCTTTAAAACTTTCAAATGATATATATTCCTACATAAATGTACCATTTGCCATACACTTTAGACTTTACATACAGCTTAGCCTTATGTATGTTTCTATTTACTTTTCAACATTTTATAGTTTATTATAAACATACCTCTAATCTTTTTTTCTTATTGGTACAAGATACAATTCTATCTTGTACTTTTTTTTAATTATCATATCTGTCATCCACCAAACTGTACCTTCCAAAGAGGCAGAAATTGCAGCAATAAAAATTAGATCAATATCCATTAAGTATAAATAAAATGTAAAAGCAGGTAATATTTGTTTCCTACATATATATATATTTATGTATATTTAAATCATAAATCCTGCTTGGGTGAGACATAAAACTAACATTTCAAAGTTCCTTCCTAAAAACTAGTCCAGTTAAATAAAATTGTATTTGATGTGTACTCACTATAATGTCCTTTGATATTATTTGGTTGTAGTTTTAACTTTCAAATTGACTTTTACTTTATGAAGAGAAAAATGTTGTAGAAGAGACTTAAGTGTATCTCTTAGTAAAATAGTTTTAAAGAAAAGAGCAGTGTGGGTTTTCACATAATTTTCCTGCTCAATGTACCACACTCAGTACATTTTTGGATCTTTGAAAGATTTCTTTTCCAGTTGAACTTGAATTAAGTACTAATTAAGTACGAATGAATATAGCTTTGCAATAAAAAAACATTCACCACGATATTTAAAAATAATTATTTCATGATTAATGGAAGTTCCTTTTGTTTCCTTTCTAAGCCTGTTGGGCAGTATAATGACTGATGAGGGGTGAGGCACAGTGCCCTGGGTGAATGCCACTGCAGCCTTCCTATGGAGCTTTCTATTGAACAGACTCAGGAGCAGACCTCTCTCAGATGAAAACCAAGGACTTCCCGTAATTTAACAGACAGCCTCATGCACAATCAAGAGTTAAGCATCAGGCAGTTGAGAGCTGAGACTTCCTTGAGAGAGGAATTCAGAAACAAGCTAATTAGATATTCTTTGCTGTGGGAGATGTTCTTAAACTGCCCCTCTAAGTGGAAGCAGTTCTCAGGAATGGAATAATATCAGATCCCGGGGATACCTTTAGACTTGCATTGGAAAAGCCTTCATTTTTCTGTTTTTGTAAACCTTTATTTTAAAAAAGCTTTTACAATTTTTTTGAGTGTGATACTTGTATAGATAAAGTGGAAATGATTTCCCAGTGTGACTAAGTATTATTCTTATAAGACATTAACATGGTGTTAGTAGAGTATCTACTGATTCTTCTCACTTTTTCCTTTTTCTGTTTTTAGGGTGAAAATCCTATCTATAAGAGCGCCGTGACAACTGTCGTCAATCCGAAGTATGAGGGAAAATGAGCAATACCTGTGCAAATTTCTCAACACTGAATGAAGAGTAGAAATTTTCATAGTCACAGTTAGGTAGCTTTAGGGCAATATTGCCGAGTTTTGAAAATGTACAATATGTATAATTTAAAAGACTTTTATTATTTTGAAAATAATGTTATAATCAATGCCAGGGACTGACAAAAGACTTGAGACAAGATGGTTAATCCTTGTCAGCTAAGGTCACATTGTGCCTTTTTGACCTTTTTCTTCCTGGACTATTAAAAGTCAAGATGTTAAGATTTACTTAATCTTGGTAACTTTTATGCCTTCTCTTTTAAAATTGAAACCTTAGGTAAAGTTAAAACCTTGGGTAAACTCCTTGGAGCAGTTATTGCAAAAATATCTCTGATTTAGCGTTATTCACATAAAGGCCTTAATTTGTGGAATACTTATTGAATTAGGGACCTTGGGGTTGAATTTTCTTTGTTTTCGATTCATTTATTTTATGTAAAGCCTGGTGCTTTTTTTTTTTATTATTATTATCACTTTATCTAATCTTTTAATGTATTGTTTGTAATTTGGGTGTGAGACTTTTAGTGCTATTCCTTTGATGTTTTGGCTGTAAATTTGCCTTTCAGAAACATGTGAAGTGTTGGTTCTTCAGCAGCTCTCACTTATATTGCTCTCAAGCTAGTGCCCTAACAGACCACTGTAGATTTCTCACTGCTTGTCTTACCCATTTTATTTCCTTTTAGTCACATTTTTGTTTAAAGTGCCTTTTAGTTTTAATAGTTCACTTTTTACAATGCTGTTTACTGAAGTTATTTATTAAATAAAATACCTAAAATATTTAAATGGTATGTTTTTGCTCTATAATATTTTGCAAGTCATGCATAAAATTATTTTTTTGCATAACATTTTTATAGCTTAAAGAGACTGATGAAAAATATATTTCTTAAGAAAATAGGGCTGGGAACACGAGACACAGAGAGAGGGATGCATTGAAAAGCCTTTTTAGATTATCTTTGGATTTTTTTAATTGATACTGAGTAAAAAAATTGGCACCCCTCACACATACTCATGTGCCAGGAGATAGGGATCTTCTTATTTTAAGCAGAACTAACTCTATGACTATCACTTTAGAGTTTCAGCCAAAGACTGCAAGGCCTGCACTTTCTTTGGTTTGGTTTAGTTTTGGGGCCACACCGGTGGTGCTCAGGGCTCACGCTGGCCATACTCGGGGGACTATATGTGGTGCCACGGATTGAATCTGGGTCAGCTCCACACAACACAAATGCCCTACCTGCTGTACTGTCACTCAGGCCCATCTGCAAGTTCTATATTCTGTTTAAGGTACAAAGGATTGTTGTTTTGATAAAATTTCATTTTCATGTGATTTGGATTTTTGTTACTATAGATTTACAATACTTATATATAATCTGCAAAAATACATAAAGCTTATTAAAAGAAATGTGTGCTCTTTTAGAACATATAGCAAATACCAGACTGATTTGCGGGAGAGGACTATTATAAGTTTTTACTTTACTATTTTCTTACATTTACAGTGCCTCTTTCCAGTTTTAAAAATCAATATCCATTTCATTTATTTCATTTAAGTATATTTCCTAGCTTAGAATAACCTATCCTTTAGTTAAGGTAAACATTTCAACTAGTTTGTAAGTTGTTTGAGAAAAATGATCTTGTGCATGTGACTCCTAATCCTTTATTTTCCATTTCCTGTTACTCATTAGTCGTACATGTCTGTAACTCATTTTACATGCCTTAGTAGATAAAACTAACAGAATTGAATTACATATTCTGCTCTGAAAGCTGACTTTTATGGGTTTTTTTTTCAATACTATATGAACAAAATATTTTCTATGTATAGTTTGTTTTTCCTGACACTGTGTCCTTGAGAAATGAAATGTGGTAAGTTTTTAGATTTTATAACAATTTTCAAACAGGCTATCTAATTATAGAAATCCTTCTATTTGAAAACTGGAAGAATTGTGGAGGGCTTTTTCTGATTGCCACTCTAGGCTGACAGTGGCATATAAATAATTTTTAGACTTAAAATTGGAAATTTCAGAATATGACTAGATTTACAGTTAAAGTTGTTGAAGCTGTGTGGAACTTTTTCATTAAAATGCATTTTGTTTTTCTAAACAGTTTATTTTGACATCTAGTGAAACTCTTCCCCCCAAATGGAGACTCCTGGAACTGTTAAAAATTTATTCAGATTCTCTACTAGGAAAAATTTACAAAGTATCATGTTTTGTTCATATATCACTTCAGATATCAGTAGTGGCATATTTTGAAGATTCCCTGATATGTTACAGAGTTTCCTTGTTCCTTCTCAGTGTATAATTATAAATTTTTTCAATAAAGATGCCCAAATATGTAAGACTTTGTACTGCAAGAATAGTTAATCATAAATCTTTAAAAAAGAAATCACTAACGTCAAGTTTATTTTAACCTGGAGTTGGCATTTCCTTCTTTGCTGTCCCCCTGAGATGTAACCCTTAAAAGAGGCTACTTGCCTATAGTTTATGGCCCTTTTTCTTGGAGACTTAGATATTTCTTGCCTGGACCCTAAGTTCTTCAGAAATAGTGACTCTGTAGGGCTGGAGAGATAGGACAGCAGGTAGGGCATTTGTCTCGCCTTTGGCTGACCCATGTTTAGTTCCCAGGTGCCCACCAGGTGTAACCCCTGAGCACAGAGCCAGGAGTAAGCCCTGAGCACTGCTGGCTGTGCCCCAAAACCACCACCAACACCATAAAAAAGGTAATTATGAAATACTCATATATTAGACAGTGTTAATTAAGGATGCATTATTAATAGAAACACTATTCAACATATTTAAATCATAATTTAATTCATTATTTGTAATAGTTTAGAAGGCAGTGTGCAGAAATCAGTGTTCTTGACTTATTGATAATAGTGTTATATTAATGAACTTACTGATGGGTTATTATCAACATTTAGGTTTCTTTCAATAGCTAGCTAACTGCCTTCTTAGCAGCCATTTAAAACACGACTTAATCATACTGCCCCAACATTCCCAGTTCCATTTTTCAGATCTTCAAGCTTTCCACACACATATTTTGTTCTCAGTGCCCCTAGATTTGATAGCTCTATGCTTATAGGAATTGGGGAGAGAAGGGGTTTGTTTTGTTTTGTGTTGGCGGTGCCAAGAATCAATCGAAGGCATTACGCGTGGAAGGCAAAGTGCTCTACTACTGAGCCACACCCCTTATCCCAGAATCTGAGTGTTTGATTCATTACTGCATCTTCAGAACCATGTCTGACAGAACTCAACTGACCAACTTTCAATTCAGATTGAAGGGCTGGGCTTTTCAGAAAAGCAAAAGCTAACAGTTCGTTACTAAAATGGTCCTTTAGAAATATGTAGAGGAGCCTGTGTTCTCCCTTGAACGCCATCTTGAAAACATTTCCCCACTTTCTCTTCTTCCATATCTTTCTAAGTAAGTTTCGTTCAACAAAAACTATTTTATTTTCATTAAAATAAAAGAAATATAGAGAGAATTTAAGCTGAATAAAAGGGAGGCAGAAAATCATAACAAGAAAATACCAAAGTATAAGCCTTCCTGGCTTTAAAATAAATAATGAAAGTATTGAATCGATCACTTATAAACTTATGGGTAAGTTTATGGTGAGATTGTGTCTCAGTCTTTTGTACATAACATTCATTTCTTATCATTTGACAACAGTGACCCGATTGGTTTTCAGGATTGTTTGTTTTAATTCAAACCTAACTATGCATTTAGTCTCTGAAATGAAGGAACTTCAGGATTTGCCTATGTTACTGTCTTGCACCAGAATTTTGAATTGCCGTATTCAGTGAACAAGAGGCACATTATTATGATTCTTGTGTATTGTTTTATACAATAAATGCTTTTTAATCTTTAAACATTTTTCTTTCCTTTTCCTTTGTTATTGTAGTGCCAAGGGGTCACACACTTGGCTGTTCTCGCCAGAGGCCCCATACTTGGTTTGAGCACTCACACACTATGTTGAGGTGCTGAGTGGGGATCCCACATACTGGGGTGCGGTGCACGGGGGATCACAAACACACATCACAACAGGGATCACAGCAGCAGTGCCCCCAAGATTGCACCTTGTGATAAGTTAACAAATTTGTGGGATGCTACAGAAGTTACTAACCTGAAAGAAAACAAATGAAAGTGAATGTTGTCGTTTTAGGCAAGAAGTCAAGTGAAAGAGCTCAGTTCTACCTTTATAAGAAGGTAGACCCAGTACAATCAGATTAAAAGAAGCAACAAAAAATATAAGTGAAATAATAACCAAAAAATGAGAAAATAAAATCATTTCAAAAAGACTGATAAACCTATGATTTTATAGTTAGACTGTTAAAAAGGAGAGAAAAAATGACGGGTTGTCATAGGTTCCATATTATAGTATAATGTATTATTCACTGTATCACTGTCATCCCATTATTCATCAGTTTGCTTGAGCAGGCACCAGTAACATCTGCATTCGTCCTAGCCATGAGATTTTAGCAGCCCCTCCTTACGTGTCCTTCCCAATGGTGCTGCATTGGAGGCTCTTTCAGGGTCAGGGGAATTAAGCACATCATTGTTACTGTTTTTAGCATATTGAATACACCACAGGAGCTTGCCAGGCTCTGCTGTGCAGGCAGGATACTCTCGGTAGCTTACCGGGTTCTCCGAGAAGGAAAACTAGATTATAAGAGGTCGTGCGGCCACATATGCGGCTGTGTGCTTCCCGGAGCTTTGTTTTATAATCTCTGGATCCTATTATTCCATTATTATATGTTATTATCTATATATAATATTGGAATATTGTACAGAATATATCAACAATATCACATGTTGTAACAAGTTGAACATACTGTAATGGACAGAATTTCTTCAATGACAAGTCCCCAACATTACCAAAATTGAGCAAGCATAAATTAATCACCTTTTGTTAAATTTCAAGGGTAAAACCATCTCACTAATATTTTAGGCTCAGACAGCTTCAGTAGAGAAGTCAACCAAGTATTTAAGGAAGAATAAAGAATTCTAAAAATTAAGAAAATTGGAGATGAAGAGATGATTTGAAATTTTAGTAAATAACATCAATAAAGGCTCTCCCATTGATCGTCAATTTGCTCGAGCGGGCCCAGTAACGTCTCCATTGGAGACTTTGTTGTTACTGTGTCTGGCATATCGAATACTCTCGGTAGCTTGCCAGGCTCTCTGAGAGGGGCGGAAGAATCGAACTCGGGTCGGCCATGTTGGCCGCGTGTAAGGCGAACGCCCTACCCGCTGTGCTATCGCTCCAGCCATAGGTTCACTTTTTATCACCATAGATTTTATTACAAGAATGCCTGTTCTTTTCAAAAGTTTAGTGACTATAAAACACGGTGTGATGGAGACATTTTGGAGGAATGTAGAGAATATTCTAGAAAACTGGATGGGTTACTGGAGATTTTGAGTGCACATTTAAAATACTGGGGCCGGGGGAGAGTGCAGCGGGTGAGTCATTTGTCTTGTATCCTTGATACTACTTGGTCCCCCGAGCCTGCCAGCAGTAAGCACTGAGCATAGAGCTAGGAGTAAGCCCTGAGCACCGCTGGGTGTGACCCCAAACCAAACAATAAAAACAACAAATGAAATATCTGTGAGCAACTGAGCCTAGAGGTTTTTTGGTTTATAATTGGTACAGAGAGCAGAAACTGGGGGTTTCTTGGGGAGAACGATAGGACCTTGAGGAGCAGAGATGGTCAGTGCTTCGCACACGGGCACCTCTGCCTCTGTGAACATGAGCACTGTGACACGGCCTCATTGTCTGCTTAGTCCAGAACTTGGGTTTACCTTGGAACAGAACCCAAGTGCCCAACTCTCTTCATTTGTGCTGATTTCTTGAAAATCCAGGCAGATTTTTAAAAATTATTTTTAAATGTATACTGTATCTCCCAAGCTAGAGTGATAGCACAGTGGGTAGGGTGTTTGTTCTGCACACAACCAACCCGAGTTCGATTCTTCAGTCCCTCTTGGAGAGCCCGGCAAACTACCAAGAGTATCCCGCCCACACGGCAAAGCCTGGCAAGCTGAAAAAGGAGGATCATAGGAAGTGTTTGATGAGTAACTATACACCTGGGTATGAGACATGAGACAGTTCAAGGACCTGTATGTGACTGCATTGGTTTACGACCAATGAAGGCCTTGGTTTACGACCTAGGACTGCATGGACCCCCAAGTGGCCCCTGATCACCAATGGACATGTTATAACATGGTTCACAGTCATGTTTTTATAAAACGGTGATAGCAGAGATTAGTACAGTTAGTCAGGCATTTGCCTTGGAAGAAGTTGACCCGGATTCAGTCCCCAGCACCAGATGTGGCTCCCTAAGCACCACGAGAAGCACAGCCAGGAGTTAACCCTGATCCTCAGAGGGTGCAGTCCCAACCATACCCCACCCATCAAACAACAGCTCAAAGAGAAGTTCTGAGTCCAGCCCTTACAGGAAATGAGATGTTTCACTCCATCCACTTACCAGCTCTTGCTCATGCAATATTCAGTACTCAGTATTGCTCTTGAAATACCACACCAATGCTGTGGTGCCTGCCACCACTGTCCTCAACTTCTGGGGTCTTCAACTTGAAGCTCAGAATGGAAGAGAATAGCATCCAGCTCCTTTGGGAGCCCACAGACATTAGAATGTTGCAAGTAACTTCTACTTTGCTCTTTCATCCATAGAAAAGGGACAAACAAGTAAAAATGTCATGATATTATCGATTTTGATTGTGGATTGTTTTTACTGGGGGTTGCCTATGTTGCTATGGGCTAGCTTCTAGAGTTCATGATTTTACCTTAGTCAGTCTATTTGCTTCTGTCAGGGAACGAGAGCCTCAAGTTTCCTGGCTGGCTTTGCCTATCTCTTCAAAACCAATGTAAATCTGGAGCTGGAGGGACAGTACAGAGGCTAAGGCACTTGCCTTTCACGCAGCTGACCCAGGTTCAATCCCCAGAATTCCTTATGGTCCTTGAGCCCCACCAGTAGTAATGCTTGGGCACAGAGCCAGGAGTAACCACTGAGCATACGGAGTGGCTCAAAAACCACCAAAACAAAAACCAACACTACCATCACCACCACCACCACCAAAATGTAAATCTTATAAATGATTATCAGATGTCAAATATTAAATAATAAGTATCATTTTCCCTTCAGTTGTAGCATTGGAAGGTACCACTATAAACTCCCAACTTCATTTCTTGCTTCTAAAATTGTATGATAATGAAATTACAACAAAATATCAACATTTAAAAATAGTAGACCACGGCCCCAGAAGCACAAGGACTTAACGCAGAAAACCAGTCGTTTGGAGCAGAAAAGCGATTGGACTATGTGTTAAACTGCGCCATCATGCCTGCCCGGAGGGGAAAGGGTGTTGCTCCATTCGCCCTCTCCTCTCTGGAAAGAAAGATGGCGGCCGCCAGGGAGCCTCATGGACAGCAGGTTTGAGCCGGGGTGGGGGGCGGCAGGGACCTCATGGGAAGGGGGGCGTTTCGGTCCGTCCTTCACGCCCTACCGAGGTCACCAGTTGCCCCCCACGAGCGGCTCTCTGGCACGGCCACGACTCCAGAGCACAGAAACCAGTCTCTTAACTATCTAACTTTTAATAGAAATACTTCCAGGGTTAATAAGTAAAATAGCAGAAATCCAAAACCGCGCGACCGCAATGCATTTAATTCTTAAAACCCAGCTGTAGAAAGCAAATCGTTTCACAACACTTTTTCAGCATATCTGATTTGGGGGGCGGGGGGGGGTCGTAAACTCTAAATAATAATGGTGCATCTTTTATCGAAACAGTGAATCTAGTCAAAGTAGATAGAGTGTTAACTAGAACTCATCTGCCTCACAGGAATTGGGAGGGGTGGGAGGTGGGGTTCTATTGGGGTTCGCGGTTAAAAATAAGTATTGGTAAAGGGAAATGTGTTTGTTATTTACATGACTGAGACCTAAACCTGAAAGCTCTGTAACTTTTCCCATAGTGATTCAATAAATAAATAAATTATAAAAAAAAAAGTAGGCACATAAAATTTCTAAAAGCAAAAGGAATATTCACTCAAAGAGAGGCACATGATTAGATGACAATGAAAATCTATCAACTTCAGGACCAAAAGAGGGAACAAAACAATATAAAGGCTCTGGACTACTAATTCAATATTTGCAAGTTTTTTCTCTAACCCTTTTCAATGTCTCTCTTAACACAAGTATCATTTGAGCTTGAAAGTCACTAACAACATTCCCAGAACAAATAGGCTGAGTTTAAAAGATCTTTATTGTATGACTGAAAAGCAAGCACGACAGTTTGTAAGACTGTAACTGTACCTCATGGTGATTCACTAATAAAAAAATTAAAAAGATCTCTATTGCTTATCTAAACCCACTCAAATCATCTTTAGACTAAGATCACATATAAACAATACTCTATACTTGATTCTGATGTCATATTGTATTTCAAGTTTTAGTATGAAAAAAAAATCTAAAGCCTGACTTTTTCCCCCTAAGCTCAATTTCTTTATCTGAAAGTGTAAGAAATGTATGGTGATGCCTCTTTTCTATATAATATGCAGAATAGATTCACAAATAAAATGACAAGAAGCCAGGACATTGTCAAAATAATACACAATATAGCTTTAATTCTTTTTATACCATACCAAAAGGAGCTTCAGGGATCAGTAAGTAGAACCTTACTGAAACTTCACCAGAGTGAGCCAGGAGCTTCCATTCTTAAATTTTCAAATTTGTTCCAGAAGATAAAGAGTTCTGAAAATAAACCAAGCAATTAAAACTTAATTGTACCAGTAACTAACCAAAAAGGAAAGAGATAGAAAGAAAAAAGAAAGAAGGAAAGAAAGAGAAAGAAAGGTGAAAGA